GGTGGCTGAGGAAGAGCTGCAAGAAAAACAGACTTTAGAATAAACGAAGTATTAAAGACTTTAAAAACGATAAATACAAACACTGAGCTCTTACCATTACCCTCTACAAAGACTGTTCGAGGAAGAGGGTAGAGGTGGAGGTCCTCGTCTAGAGTGAACTCCCAGTTTCCCGAGGTAATAAAGTTGTCATCCCTAGCTCCCTTGTTGGAGTCTGGGAGGTCGGCAACGATTTTGTACTCTGTGGACCTCGGTTTAAGGTAGTAAATATAGCCTATGTCTTTTTCGAGGCCACACATGGTGTAGCAATATTGGATGTTGGCTAAAGTAGCTCTAGCGTTTTCTTGTTTGACTAAGGCAATTATACCATTTATGACTCGGTAGGAATTGATGGCAAGCTGCATGCGGTTCAACTTATAGTAATGGATTATCTCACGGAAAAGGATATTGAGTGGGAGCCGAAGTCCGCACTCGATAAAAGCTACAACAGGGAAGAGCATAGAATCGGTTGTGGGCATGATAGAGTCATTCTCCCCAGCCAACCTCAGCTGGACATCTGCCGGAATGTCAAACTCTTGCCTAAAGTGCTCTAACTTGGTCGGGGTGTCTACCTTATGCTTCCACATACCCATGATATCGGCTTAAATTGTGGGAGCTGGATTTCAGAAGGAAGGTGTTTTGTAAGGGTTATATGGACCTCGGCAAAAACCTAAAAGTGAGCTGGGGTAAGAATTTGTGGGGATCGTTTTCAGTTCTTCCTAAAAATTCATGGGTTCTACAAACAAATCCCAAACCTAGATCTATGGAAACGAAGATTGAAGGCACGAATCTGGAAAACTCACAAAAAACAGAAAAGCAAGAATGTGTTTCAGAATCAAGAACAGTGATGAACTATCAAGAACACTGTGCCAGAGTGGGTGCAAGGGTATAAGGCCAAGAACAGTGGCAAAAGTGCAAGAAAATTGTGAGCAGCGTGTGTATTCAAGACATGGGCAAAAGCAAAGTCATGAAATAGACACGCTCAGATACATCATTCATAAATCGAATACTTGAGCAAAACAGCATTGGCAACAAGCAATGAAGTGAAACTTCTTAAAGAGCAACAAGAACTAAAACTAGGAGGAATAGTGGCTTACCAGAAAAAGTGAAGTAGGTGTGAGGATCGCCGAAGTCAGACAACGGTTGCAAAAGCGATAAAGTGGTGAAAATCACACCGGAGAAGACGAATACAGCAAGGTGTAGAGCTAGGGGGACTTGAACAATAGAGGATTTGGAAGGAAAAGCTAGAGAGAGAGAAAGTCTCAGAAATAATAGAGAAGAGTGAAAAGACGGGGGAATAAAGGAAGTTTTGTCAAAACTTGAAACGGCAGCAAAAAGGCAATTAATGTGCCAAAAACGACGTATGCGTCAGACGGCGCAGGCAAGCAAAATTCGACTTACAGACGTGTATCAAGTACGATCCAATAAGGGGAAGCCGCGTGGCTAAAACGGTTGAGTTATTGTGTATGACAGCTCATACGCTTGAAGAAGCTCTTAGAATTCTTGTTCTTTAAAAAAATGTCGGCCTATATGATGATCTCGGCTGAGAAATTTTAAGCCGACGTACTGGAAGGAAGTACTGATAAAGGTTCCATCACCACAGAATGCTGCCGAGGTAATAGAACCTAGGGGGCAGTTGTGGCGATATATTTTCTGAGTACCAACACGTGGCCAAGGTGACGCCGACGTGTAAGCCGAGGTACCATGTGTCCTGGTCATGACGTCGAGGTGATCTCGGCTAGGCCGAGGTTATCTCCGAAGATATCAGAATTCGGGATAAGCGGATAAGGGACAAGAGTCTTAGAATAAAGAAGGGACTCAGCCTGGATAAGGATAAAGCTCTTAGAGAGTTTATATTTATCTATTTGAAAAGTCCAAGATAAGCACTGAGCTAAAGTCCATTGAAGCAAGGCTTCTGTTGGGACAATGATTGAATTAACTATAAAAGAGAGGCACCCCCATGGGTCTAAGGTACGCAATTTATATTCAGAACAGTGAGTTAAGCACTATTGATTATCTTTGAGAGATAACTGACTTGATCGTCGGAGTGCCCCCGGGTGGACGAACCACCACCGAAATCTCTTCTTTTTGTTGCAAGTCATTCAGGTGCCATCTATTCTGTCAGTGCTCTCCAGTTGAATACTGATTTGGCAGTGTGGTCAGAAAATCACTCACACACTATATATATAAATGCACACTTTAAATATATGTGTATATATATATATATTAGGAGATCCCGTTTTATTAAATGTTTCACACAAACGATGACTATAAAGTCTCTGCCTTGTAAACCTATGGACAATTAGATGGAATTTTTAAATTGTGTATATTTATTGGATAAGCTTTGTGATGGAGATGATGTTTGACTTGTTAAAATTATTATATCCACTATGGGAAGTTTTCTTTTAAATATGGAGAATCTTTTGTTGGTTGTAGCAAGTGTATTGATAAAGCTTTTTGGAAGCTTGTGCGTACTGGATCAATGTGGAGCTTATTTCCTTTTTTTTATATATACCATTTAATTTGCGGGTCATACATCTATTACCATTGGAATTTTTCTGAATGGAGTGCATTGACATTGATAAAATTGTAATGTTGATTGGATATATACATATGAATGTTGTTATTTTATTTACAAAATGGTATACCTTTACTTTCCATAGACCGTTTTCATTTTTTGTCTAATTTTACAATCATTTGATGTGCAAATATTTTCATGAAAAAATTACATGAAATTATTTTCGTTTTCTTTTGTACAGATGGATGAACTCGTGCATGAAGCTGAATTGTATAAGACTAGTTGGCATTTGTTACATTTTTTGAAGGAATATATATTTTTTGATAGATATATATGGAAACTATTTGATAGACTACTAGTTATATTTTTGAATAAATACGCATGGGTAAAAATTTAAAATATAATAACAAGTACTTGTTATGTTTTAAATTTTTATGCTAGATGGATATGAATTGGATGATTATATAAATTACATGACATTTTTAATTGGACGATTATGTAATTTGAAATTACATGTGGATGAAAATTTATAATAGTTGATAACTTTAATTAAACAGGTTAAGTATTGGATGATTAATATATTTTGTTGGATGTTCATGATTCAGTTAATTTTGTTGATTTGAATGGTTCTAGCAAATTACAGGTTATATTGAATGGATTTGATGGATTATTATATTTTGATAAATAAAAAATATTGAATTGGCGACTAAAAATTGGTTTTGTTTTTCCTCTTTTGGCGACCAAATGATTAGTCGGGAAAGATAAGTAATACTTTTGCCAACCAAAGTTGTTAGTCGGTATATCACCACTCACATTTGACGGCCAAAATGTTGGTAGGCGAAAGGGTACATTTGGCAACTAAATAATTAGTCAGTAAAATTATTAATTTTGGCAATCAAAGAGTTTGGTCGCGAATAGGTCTATTGCCAACTTAAGTTTTAGTCGAGCAAACATTACTTTTGGTGACTAACAAGTTTGGTTGGGAAAATAGTATTTTGTGGCGACTAACGTTTTTTAGCTACAAAATGCTTTAGTCTCGGTAATTATATATTCAACAATGACCATGTATCCACGACCAAAGTGGTGACCAAAAAATATTAATTGCAAAAGACTTTTGCCGACTAAAAACAGACTTTTACCGACAAACTTTTTAGTCGGCAAAAGTGTAATTTCCTGTAGTGACAATGCTGTATTTGGATCACGAATTTGAGTAAAGATTTGAAAAGAAAAAAGAAATATGTGGATAAAATATAGTTATATTTTATTTACATTTCACTATCCTTTTTTCTTTCCTTTATAAAAATTCCACGGCCTCAAAGTCCAAGAAGTAATCCGAAAACTTGTTTGTTATAATATATAATATTTGAAGAATAATAATGCTCGTTATAACACTAATTGAAGAATAATAAAATAAGTCAAAGAGAACTTTGAAGAGTGGACGTGTACATGGATTTACGCTAAATCAGTATAAATTGTGTTTATAGGCATCTAATACTTGGCCCAAAGTGATATTTTTAAAAGAGTTTTGGGACTAATTGCATCAATAGTTCTGAATTTTTTTTTAATGAACGATCTTTTAATTTTGTCAATTTAATCACCCAGCTAGGAAATGAGTTCAAATGGTCCTCAAAACTCAACGGACTTGGGATATTTTTGAAACTTTACAAATAGATATATATATTATAAAATTAAAAGATTTGGGAGCAAAAATGAAACAAACTGCATATTTTGGGAACCAAAAGCAGCAACAATACTTTGGAGATATTTTGTTAAAATTTCAACTCCTTTTGTTTCGATGTAAAACTATTGTATGCATTAGGTAGAAATATAATAAAAATCCACCATTTTAAAGATCAATGTGCTGCTTAAAGGGTCGAGCTAGAAGAGAGGTTCTTAAAAATTGACTTGCGAAATTTTTAATGGCAAGTGATAGAGGACTATGACAAAAAATATCTTTCTTAAAAAATGTTTTAGTTAACCAAACAATGAAAAATATTACATCGAAACAAGCAGAGCTTTCATGTAAAATTTTGAAAACGCACAGCTCCCATTAATCAATTTGAACAGCTTGACTGGTATGAATTATTTAAACTCATATTTTGTAGTTTTGAAAGTGCAACAAAAATATGCATAGTTCAAAAAAAGTAAGATGGGCGTGTAATTAGTCTAATTGAATTTATGAGATCCAAGAGAAGGGAGCTAAAGAGGGTGATACCAATCTGTTGTTATGAGCAAGGCATCAAGAAAAATGTATGGTATAAAATAAATATAAACCATCATTTAAGCAATCAAATGCAAAACTTAAAGGACTAAACAACTACTATAAAAATAGCTACCATGCACAAGCAAGGAAGGAATCACTCACACAAAAGGGTCGATCAAATATTAAATTGCTTATCATCTGCATTGTATCATTGCACACTCTGAAATTTTAAACTGTGAGAGAGAGAGAGAGAGAGAGGAACTCAAACTAACTACCTAGCTAGCTTTCCATCAATGGCTTCCTCAAGCACTGGTTTCTATTTAGAGAAGTACCCGTATCCATCAGAGTCTAAAGTGGAGGAATATGTCATCGAAATGCTCTCAGACAGCAACTACGAAAAGTGGAGAGAACTAATGATCAAATTCATTAATGTTGTGTTTGGTGGAGGGATTTGGGGAGAGATTTGGAAAGGGAAAGGGAAAAGGTGTGTGAAACTATGTGAAATATAGGCATAATTTATTCACATTTCACCTACCTTTTCCATTTCCCTTTCCAAATCCCTTCCCAAATCCCCTAACCAAACACAGTATAAGAGTCAACGCTTGGATGGTTTCATCTACGGCACGGATGAGGCTCCCCTTGAAATGGTCCCAGTGCCAGTGCCGGTCCCAAATGCTGGTGGTGGTGATTCTGCTGGTGGTGGTGGTGATTCTACTAGTGGCGGCAAAAAGTACATTAAGAATGAGGAATACGAGTACTGGAAAAAATCAAACGACCTCGTACGGGGATGGATCTTGACAACGCTCACCAAAGATACGGCCAAACGAGTTCTGTGGTTTAAAAATGCTAAAGCTGTGTGTGTTAGCTTTTGATAAAACTTTCTTTAGAATGAATTATATTTTGTATTGAATTTTTATCACTTATTGATTCATATATCTTGCCCATAGGCTTACATCCTTTTATATAGAGAAGATTATACATAACTTCAATGAACAAGATCCATGAACCTAAACAACCTTGTACTTAATTAGGTACATGAATATAATCTAGACAATGTACTTAACACGAGTTCTGCGGTTTAAAAATGCTAAAGCTGTGTGTGTTAGCTTTTGATAAAACTCTCTTTAGAATGAACTATATTTTGTATTGAATTTTTATCACTTATTGATTCATATATCTTGCCCATAGGCTTACATCCTTTTATATAGAGAAGATTATACATAACTTCAATGAACAAGATCCATGAACCTAAACAACCTTGTACTTAATTAGGTACATGAATATAATCTAGACAATGTACTTAACAAATATAAAATACTTGAATATAAAAATACATGAATACAAAGAATGTATGAACTCAATGTATCCAATGCATGCAATGTATCCAATATATCTAATGTAAATATGGCATTAATTTTAACAGTGTGGACAACGTTGGAATATTTTAAAGGTTTAAATTTGTTACATGTCTCTTATTACTTATTACCAAAATCACAAATTGTCATAATCTACTTAAGATATATCCTTTTTAAAGTACATATTATAAAAGTACCCAATATTTGGCTTTTATCTGCCTAGATTACTATCTTTTTCCTCACTCTCCCTCAACCTCCACACAATGTCCCTTAGCCTTGGAATATGCTTACATTTACCAAAACTTCCGTATAAATTTTTCTTAAAAGTTGATTTTGACATCCAATAATGAAATTTTAAAATTTAAATAATATATATTAAAAGAGTTAACAAATCAAATTATCAAAATAGAGCTCATAACAATCTGCCCCAATGATCTATTCCTTTTGAAGGACTGGAAAGAAGTCTTACTCCCGAAATGAAATTCTTTCCTATTGCACAGAAATTTTAGTAAAACTTAATGAGCTGTGGAGAAGACGATTGAAAATACTCAGAAAATAATAATATATTATTATTTGAAACAGCATCTAAAAACTTAAATTTACTTTGAATTTTCTGTTGGCCATTTTTGCAGGTCGTTATGTGGCACTGCACAGAGCTGCAATCGAAGGTGACTGGGAGATGGCCAGCAAATTTATAGAAAAAGAACCAGATAACACAGCAGTGAGGGCTGCCATAACGGCAGACTTAGAAACAGCTCTCATCGTTGCAGTAAAGTCAAATCAGAGAAATAATTTTGTGAAGAAGCTAGTTGAGGAGCATATGTCACAAGAGGATCTAGCTCTCGGTGACAGCAGAAAAAGGACAGCACTTCACAGGGCTGCCGGAGCTGGAAACATGGAGGCGGCGAAACTGTTAGTGAAAAGCAACCAAAACCTGCCAAATGTCGGGACATATGACAAACGAATTCCTTTGTTTTTTGCAGCTGCTCGTGGGCATAGGTTCTTTATTTGATGAGTGTCACTACTATGGATGGCAACACCCATTATTTGTCCCAATTACTGTCTAAAAATGGCTTATTGCCACTTTCTCAAAATAAACCCAAAAGTCTTAAACCATTTGAGGGTGAACCAGGCTTCAGAATTTTGCATCAGCTCACTATTAATGGCCTTTATGGTGAGTAATTAGATATTCGATAAACACCAATGGTTGGTGGCCTGAAATTCAGTGGCTCGAAACTGTCAAAACGACGTCGTGTTTTGACAGCTTCGAGCCATTCGAGCCACTGATTTTGTGGCCCTCAAACATTTTTCTATATAAAAATTCACTTTGCTTCTTTCACTATTTTCTCATTTTTGCCTTTGATGTTTTAAGTTTTTTTTAATTTATTACTCTAAAAACTAACTTATGTCCAAAACTAGATATAAATAATTGTTGATAATCATGTGTATAAATATATATATATATATATATATATATATATATTATTGTATATAACTCACACTTCTGATACAAACTTAAATCCTGATATAATAACATATTTTTTATATCATGTGACAGCTAACGTGATACTTTTTAACTAACTTTGAACAGAGATTAATTTTAGGAATTAATTGGGAAAAAAAATATGAATATAAAGGGCCAAAGTAAAAAAGGAAAAAAAAATGTCAAAGACCAAAAAGGGAAAACGTCTAAACATAAAGACGAAAAAGTATAATTTACTCTTAAATATTTTAATTGTTGCTATTTGAAGAGCTTTTAGCTCACAAAATTGAAATAAAAAATTCAAAAACTTAAAAAATTTCCCAATACCAAAATAATGAAATAAATAAATAAATTTTAATATGAAAGTGTTATAATAGAATAACTTAATTTATAGGATAAATTACATTGATAATCTCATGATTTTATGAAAAATATAATAAATCACACAAGTGTGACATAATTACTAACTTTTTTTTTAATAAGACTAGAATTAATATAAACGAGCGTAGATACAAGGATAATCAATAATCAAATATATGTTTCAATATAAAAGATATGATAACTATAATTTGCTTGGTTAGAGTTTTTTAAAAATACTTTTTAGAAAATTTTACTTTTTTATTTTTCGTATTTTTTTGTTTTTACTAAATTTTTTTAATATTTTAAACAATTTTTTTAATTTTTAGACATACCTAACATAAATATACTAAAAAGTAAAAACATTGTGAAAAAAACATTTTTAAAATTCACTAAATACCAAAAATATAACCAAAAAAAATATGAGAATTCGGTATATTTTTTGTATTTTTATGTATTTATTAATTTTTTAAATATTTTTTCACAAATTTTTTACTTTTTAGATATATTTAAGTAAGGTGCATCTAAAAAAATAAAATAAATGGTTAAATTTTAAAAATATTCACTAAAAACAAAAAAACACAAAAATCAAAAACTCAGTTTTGAAAAAACTTAATCCAAAAAACTCAAACCAAACACATTGATTATTTTTCTGCTTTATACAATAATCAATTAACTTATAAAAATGGAACAAAATGTTATGTGAATTAAAATCTTAATGAAGTATAATGTAATAATTATTCCAAACTTGTAGAGTTTGATATGTTTTTCTCAAATTTTAACGGAGGTTAGTGTAATTTACCCTAATTTCTATTAACTAATTATTTTTATTTTATTTTTGGGGGGGTTTTTCCGACAGACATTGCTCTACCCTTGCTTCAAGATACACCTGAGTTTTTTTTTTTTTATCAGCAAAAAAGATCAACTTTATTGATGAGATTCAACAAAACAGTTGAACACATCAGCAAAGAAGGGAAAAAGCACACCAGAGGATGGTGAGATACCATCCAAGAAGAAAAACAAACAAGCCAAAAGAACTACACCCCACCAGAAAAACAAACAACCAAACACCAAACAATGAAACTAGCAGCACCACCAATCTAGTCCTAACACCCCCAACTTCCACCAACTACAAGAGAACAGAATCAACCCAACACCATCGACAACATCAAGACAAAGGCACATACCTGACTTGTTGCAATTTCCGAATGATGTCCTGGACTGAATAAGAACACCCCTTTGAATGAGCTTTGACCCAAAAAGCCACTCTAGCCATAATCAACTCACAGAATTCGGCAAGGCAAAGCTACTTCCCAGAGAAAACCACATCATTTATGAGTTTCCAAGTAGACCACATAACTGCCAATGGAATAACTTTCCAAATTCTAGCTTCAAACTTTCTCCACTTAAATCCCATCCACCAATGTAGCAGCCCTTTAACATTACCAGGCACAACCCACTGAAGCCCCCACCAATTCAACACAGTAGACCATACTTGCCATACAAAAGGGCACCAAAGAAGAACATGATTAACTGTTTCAGCATCATTCCTGCAAAGGACACAATCAATGGAAGCACTTTGGTTTAGCACGCCAATCTTCTGCAGAAACACGGCTATTTTCAATCTACCTTTCCACGCTAGCCAACCAAGGAACTGAACTTTCGGAGGGGCCAAATTATGCCATAACAGACCAGAGCTCAGTATAGAAGGACTATCCATAAAAGCATTTGAAAGGGAGGATATAGAAAATTGTTCTAATGAACATGCCAGCCACTTCAAACAATCGTCACTGTCCACTGCCCCCAACTCTTCCTGATTAATTAAATTGACTAACCTTTCCAACTCCTCGGCCTTCCAAGCAAACAACACTCTTCGGAAATTAAATTCCCAGACCCCTGATAATCTTTTCCTCTCCAGCAATGCACTTAAAGTTATGTCTTTTTTTGTTGATAAACTGAACAGCCTAGGGAATTTCTCCATAAGACACTGATGCCCACACCAATGATCCAACCAAACCTGAGTCCTGACCCCATTTCCCACAACCAACTTAACATTATCAAGAAAGATGCTCTTCAATTGAGGGTTTGATTGGCCAACCCTTAATATCTCACCCCATACCTTAGATAAATATTCATCAGAGCAAGGAAAAGGCAACCATCTCCCACCATTATACTGGTATCTACTACACAGAACCCTTTTCCACAAGGATTTATCTTCAACACGAAATCTCCACCACCATTTAGCTAGAAGACAGTCATTTACATCCTTTAGCCTTCTGATTCCCAACCCACCTTGGTCCCTTCTTTTAGTAATCTCCTCCCATTTAACTAGATGAATCTTCTTCCTTAATGCGGACCCTCCCCATAAGAAAGCCGCCCTCAAACTGTCAATTGTCTTAATCACAGATTGGGCATCTTAAACATGGATAAATAGTATACAGGTAAACTAGACAGAACAGACCTGATGAGAGTTAGACGACCCCCAAAAGAGAGAAGTTTCCTTTTCCAAGATGCTAATTTGGCCCTAATTTTATCGATTACTGGTTTCTAAGTTTTCTTCAATCTAGGGCTGGCACCTAAAGGCAACCCAAGATAAGCTAGAGGAAGACTTTGATTTTGACAATTGAGCACACCAGCACAGTCCTTTACCATCTGCTCAGATACACCAATTCCACATACATACCTTTTATAGAAATTTATTTTCAACCCTGACACTAATTGGAAACATCTCAAAATTTGTTTTATTGCTATAAACTCCCCCACATCAGCCTTGCAAAAGATTATAGTATCATCGGCGAACTGTAAATGTGACACAGTTGTGCTTGCCCCAGCCCAACC